CGGTGCTGTTGTATGTCACAGCCAAAACACTTGTTAACAGATGAATGTGGCAGATTAGTACAGCTTCCCTGCTCTTTAATCCAGTAATCCTGCATCAATGGGTCATGAAGAAGCCTTTTCTGCTGTAGTGAAAAGGAAGGAGATGAAAGGAATAGAAGAATCCACGAAGAACAGACAAGCATGGCGGTGATGTCGGAAATTTGACATATGAGCGTGTGCACAAATGCACATAAAAACAGACATGTGTGCGCACACACACAGCACACGTTGTCAGAACTTAGCAAATGAAAAAAAAAAGTGGTGCCATCATTCATCCCTCACTGCTTAGCCTCTTTTTTGACACAGGCACACGATTTGAGCTGCACACTCTCTTTGTGTACATGTCTCCTGCCTCCTAACACTGGTTTGAACCCTATTTCACTCTGACAAGCATTATAGATACATATGCTAACAGGGCTAATTCCCCCCAGCAGAATCACATTTTATGACACCAGAGGCTGAGGTTTGATCTGGTTGGTTGGCTTGTGCATACGCAAAGGCATGCAGAGACAAGCATAATCACACAAACACACATGCACACAAGCTCACTCACTCATGTCCAGCAATTTTTATTTCTCTCACATTCAACTTTCAAATAATACAAAGAATGGTTTTTGTTCCCTTTCTTATTTAAAACTGACTTCAAATCAAAGCCCTTTTGAGAAAATGTATGCTGTACATCCTTCATAAAACACACTTAAATACAACAGAAATTCAACTGGCTTCTGCTACCTTCAAAAAGATAAAGTACAAGAAAAGGAGGGAGCCATGCTATTCAGACATGAAGGTTCTGTGTAAAGTGAATGCCCTTGAAGTATTAATGCAAGTGCAGAAATCATGTGTGTGAAATTCAACATCTCTAGATTTATATTTTTAAATAAAAGGCATGATGAACCATGTTGGAATATTGGCTGCTCTGTAAGTAAATAGAAGTAGAAATAGAAAGCCCATTTTTAGCTAAGCTGATGCATTTTTTTTAACCCTATTTCTGAGGGTTTCAAGCTGCAAAGAATCCAGATTTTCCACAAATTTTCCTATAGTAACTTCCTATAGTAACTAACTGAAAAGTGGAAAACAATGTTTGGCTTCCACTTCTAATCATTATTTGTACTGTAGCTTGCATCACATCCACTATTTATTGCATTGTCTGCTATTATTTCTTCCTACAAGAAAAAGCATCCTGGATTAAAAGTATTCCACAAATTTAATCACACAAAAAGTTCTTTAGAGAACAAAATAAACCTGACCCTATAATTAGTGCCTCATCCACCCCCCACCAACAGTGTTAATGTAATAAGTAGGCATGTACACAGCCTGTAAAAGTTCAGATAATCAGTAGAACCCTGCTCTGCCTTTACCTTTCCTCTCTCTCCTCTTGTGCATACCTTTTTATCAGTAATTTCTTCTTGAAGTACAAGGCTCTTTTGTTGATTTTCAGAGCAGCAATTTGGCGCCAGCGAGGGGCCCAGGCAACTAAAAATCTGCTTTGATGACTCTAAATGGAGAGATTATCCAAATGAAAGGCAATTATCCAAACCCCACCCATCCCTCTACCCGTTAATATCTCTCTGAGCTTTTTTTTTTATTCCATCCAGTACTCATGCTTCATCATCCCTTGGTTATTCATCAAATTCACTGTTTGATTCCACCTGTTTTCCCTTTTCCTCCCTTCTCCACCTCCATAATGTTTTACTCACTTCATCATCTCAGCTTTTTATTCCCTCTTCTCTCCTTCTTTATCCCCAATCACCTGTCTAAACACATCCTTTTCTCCTTTTTCGGTTACGCTTTTCTTTGTCTCCCCTTTTGGTTCTGCTGCATTCCCCTTCTTTTCCCAGGAGAGCCATTAACTGAATTGGCCACAGAGGCCATTTAAGAAAGAGAACACTGATAAACATCCCATTTCTATTTTGAGGCTAGCAACAACTGCTAATTGCTTCCATTCAAGCTGTTTTTGAAAGAAAAGGCTAACACTGACTAAATTGGACCAATAAGTTTAAAAGAATAATAAAGACCAAACCAGCAAGCCATGTGTCTTTCTGGTTAAGTCTTTTAACCCACAGATACTGGTTATGTTTCATGCCTTCACAGTATAGTCTGGGTTAATTCCCCTCATATTAAGTGTGTTTTGAACTACAGGTCAATTTAGAATGTCTAAATAGCATCTCTGAAATGAACAATAATGTTAATAATCCTTAATTAATGTTTCAGAGAGCAGGAAGAATGTATTGTTTAGGCTACTGGATGGTATCTACCATCACACAGTAGCATGCCCTGTTTTACTCAACACATGAAAACATAACAAATATAATGAATTTAAACATATTTTATCAAAAGCGGAAATCACGAGAACATTCTGGAACTGTTGGGAGTTGTTATGCCTAACCACTAAAACCTTACGTATGTGGCATTTTCACATATGCTTCCTACATACTACATAACTGCATGATGCTTGATTTAAATATCCTCCTCTTTATATTTTATGACTTGAGAAAGGAAATCCCAGAAATACGACACAACAGGTTCTGGTGCAAAAATCTTTGAGCTCCCACCTCTTCCAAACAATCTTATCACTGCACTCTCAATGCCAAGAGTACTTTTTTAATGCCAAAACCCAGATGGCACTGGCATAAGACATTAGCAAATTTGACCTTAAGTCTCTTGGCTGGCTGGGAATACTTTGGTGAATATTGATATATATCCAAAATCAATTGCAATTGTATGGGTCAAATTTGACCCTGAACAGCCTCAGGGTACAACAATTTATATTATACAATACAATTTTTAAATACATCTCGTGTATTTTGGGTCACTTTATAAAAAGTCTTAAAATCCAGGTCAAAAGCATGACATTTAGGGTACGTTTTCTGCTGTCAAATGTCAAAAAAGGCTACATTTGACCTGAACAGGATGCAAGGGTTAAGCTGGGTCTCTTTGTTATATTAAGGTCAAATTCATGTCATTCATTCCAAGTTTGCTGCACGAGATGTCACACCTCCTCTCCCTTCTCTCTGCTCTCACTCAGCATTGTGTTCCCTAATGAAACAGCAAAGGTAAAGGCTTTACAATAGACTGTGAGTAACGGGGACTGGTGAACACACACACAGACACACGCACTCAAAAACTAAACTCCATGTTGTAAACACAGTGAGTGCACTGCAGAGGGAGAATCTCCGGTTACAGGGTCACTCGGTCTCGTTTGTCTTTTTTCCCGCTGTCATCGGCTTGCTTGTCCTTACAGTCTCATCCCTCATCCAAAGCCATCTTTGACAAATACATTTATAATGAATTGATGCTTTTATAATCATATAATATCTTTTGTCTTGGTTCCAATGTTCCAACACATCAGAGATCTGAAGTGTGGGTTTCATGCTTTGTACTTTCCACAGCCTCTGCCAGTCTGGCAACCTTTTGGCTGTGTTCCTTTTGGCACCAGAGCGGGGTGTATTTACCTCATGCCCGGCCAGGGCAGGATTTCCCAAAGGGAAAATAACACCAAACACCTCTGTGCTGCTTACAATCACCATAAAAGGTGATATGAACACTGTGTTCCTGTTGCAAAGCCAAATACTAACACAACACTGAATTTAACCTACCTAAGATGGTAGGCTAAAGGGACATTTTTATTGTTGTTGTTGTTGTTGTTGTTGTGTAAGCCAGTATTTGTTCATGTTTCATTTGAGAACCAAAAAAACAAAACAAACAAAAAAACAAAAACAATAAATAAAAAGAATAAAGATGTCTTTGGGAATTAAATATACTGCTTAGAGTGAATTCAGGACCATGGACAGAGACAAACACTCCGTCTTTCTATGAAACCAAACAAATAAGGAAAATATTGTGTCTCACTAACATGAAAGGACTAAGAAAGCATTGTACAGGTCAAACGGTGAGGACTGCATGAGAAAGTGAAATGTCCTCAAAGCCATTTAAAGATGTCTTATGTCAGATTTTGTTTTCTGAGATGTCTGTCTGTTAATGTAATTTTTGCTCAATGTCATCCAAGGGGACCAATAATGCAGTATGCTTTTCTGTGCCTGTAATATGACGTGCCACACAATCTGATACAGGCAATTTTGAGGGTGACATTACAGGCTGCAAATGCAGACATGAACATACCAACACAGAGAACACACACACACACACACACACACACACACACACACACACACACACACACACACACACACACACACACACACACACGTTCCTCAGTTCTCTCGTTTGATGCAAAAAGCCACCTCCTCTGAACCACAGTCACAAATTCTCCATGCTCTTTTGGGGGTTCTGCTGTCAAATCCCCTGCCAGAGAGCCAACAGGCAAAATCTATTAAGAGCCCCAACATGACGTAATGTGGTTCATACCACAGAATCAGTTATAACAAGGTCAGCAGCAGTCTGCAGATGATTTGCTTCCCTTTGACTGTAAAAACTGATAATCATAAAGACAATGGATGAATGGATAGATGGATGAATAATAATAATAATGAGATTAAGAGTCCCAGAGCAGCAAAACCTCCTAATTTCCAAAAAAAAAAAAAAAAGGATGGCAGGTGCCAAACTTTCTGTAGGACATTATTATATACGTATCACAAGAAGATGACGTAATGTGTTTGTTGTAATAAAGGTTAATGTCATCACGTTAGACCTACTTTTAATATTTCATGGCAAATATTTTGCAGAGCAACAGTGCCACTGTGTGGACATTTATGAATGCAGCAGGTTACATAAGATTCCAGCGGCAAAGCATTACATCATATTTTTGTGTATGTTAAACTCTCAGCAGCACATAAACACCACTTGTGAAACATGGGATGGCAAATTCTTAAAGAAGTAGATTATTCTGATACCTTCCACTTGCACACATCTACCATACTCTATAGATGAAAAATGAATACAGAAAGTGGTGATGATGATGACAGAATCACAGGAGCATGAGTGTTGCCAACTATTGGTTATTGGGTATATTATTATCCATGAACTAAACTATTTTAGTTCTTGGGTAATAATATGTCAAACAAACTTTGATTAGATTCCTTTTGTATGATTTTCCTTCACTAGCTCATTTTTATTAAAATGTGACTTTTTTGATGGTGTTGAAACAAGTAAATACTACTGATTATAACTCCATGTTTAAATATATATTACAAGCAAACTACTTAAGGATATAATTACAAATGCAAGCCCCAGAATAATATGAGCAAGAGGAGATATGACATTAAACTAATTAAAGCAGCATTTCACTGCTATATTGTTTATCCAGTGTAGTCAAAGTAACCCTTAAATATAAACCTATACTATATACAGTAGCAATGCTTTCCTTTCTTTGACTTCGGGATGAATACAGCACCGCTGAGCTTAATAGCCACCATGAAAACAAACAGGTGTAGATATTAAAATTTCACTTCTATTCACGGTGATCTTTTTCGTGTTTTTGCATTACCATTGTCAGATGCACCAGGAGTCAAGCTCTGTCTGCTCTTAATCTTCTTTAAGGAGAGCAGTCTGGCCTGAGAAATCTCTCTTACAATGGAGGACAGGTGTTCCTTGTTGTGGCTTGGAGGCGAGGCCTTAGGAGACTCTCCATCTCCACTGTCACTGCTCTGGACCATCGACTTACCCTGCAGAAAGTAGCAGTCAGATTTAGTTAGTAAGAAACTTCTCATAATCATGATGATGGAGAGTAAAAACAGACTTACATCTTGGGTTTGCTGCATCAGTTTATCCAAAGGTGGGATTTTGAAATGAACCATAACGTTTTGTTTTTTTTAGAAACATGACTAAATATTTTATATTCACAATGAAATACAATTCTGCAAGTCCACTTGATCCTAAATTTAATTCAGGCTTAAAATTTAGGACTGGGGAGTCTAGACCACCATGTTTTTACATCATTATTTGCTAGCCATCCCTAAATAATTAAACCAGCAGAATTTTTCAGAGAAAATCTTTTCTCTGTGCTTTGCATGTTAAAGAATCCTGGAAAAGTTTTGGATTATAAAATATAAATAAATAACAGCTCACAAAATATTGGACTACTGACATTTTCACTCTGTTTTGAGAACCTGTAGATGGGCGGCAAAGAATAAGATTTCATTCTGTGAAAAAAAGAAAACAGACAAAAAGTGTTGACATATATATTTGATACTGCAAAAATGATTAACGAATATTGACTTACATACATGAAACCTATACATAAAGGATTGAAGTGTAATACATTTGAACATGACATGTGCAGGTATATTTAGTGTGTACGTGTGTGTGCATGTACATGTCTATACATAGGAATAGTAGTGGTAGAAAAGTTATTTTAAGCTGTACAGTTTATGTCTTGCATATTTCCACAACCATATCCATAATCACATACTGTGTATGCTACCATTGTATATAGTGCATTATCTTACTTCTTTTTTTATTTGTTTGTATTTTATTTGTATTTTTTGTATTTTCCTTCTGATATCTGTACTTGAGCTGAGGTAACGCAAAAATCTCCCCATCGTGGAATCAATAAAGTCTTGTCTTATCTTATCTTAAATAACATCTGTTCACAAACTTCCTAATATCTATGTTTGTTTTTTAGTCTGTCTATAATTCAGCTCTTCATAGTTGTGTGTACGTGCCTATAATATCTATCTGTAATCATAATCATTTCAAACAGAACACCTTCATACAGATGGAACATGCGTGAGGATTGTAGTTTTCAAGGGAATTAAAAGCAGCTTTGTAGCCCTAAAGGAGTAATTAGTTGCCCCAGTGGAAAAGATCTAAACACAAACTGTACGGTTTCCAAGAAGCATCCCTGGTCACCATAGTATTCTATTTTTAAAGTTCCACAGCTCTTCATGAATGACTCAAGACTACACATAGTGATGGATATTAACGGTGTTCATGACTCACTGCTATTCGTGTGCAATTCTATTGTAGAAATGCTTGTGTTTATTTTTAATGCAGGCTAAATCAAATGCAAAATTTCAAACCTAATGACATCATTTTGCAGATCTTAGATGTGTGACAGTTTGGTAAATGTCAAGTCTTCATTTTTGTTTTTAAATCAAGCACTCAGTGTTAAGATAAAGTGTTACTTTCTTTACCCTCTGACTCGCCTCGTCCCTCTGGGTTTGGTGAAGAGCAGATCACTGTAAGGAAGCTTCTTAAACTTTTCTCTTCCCACAGCCACATAAAGCTGACCACTCTCTAGCTGATTCCCCTCAGTCACCTGTTGGCCTTCATAGGTAAAGAGACTAGAACACACAGAGAATCAAAAGCCTTATTGTTTACATCATGTGCTGGCTCCATGTGATCGTTTATTGAGCTGGTTGAAAAATGAAGCATACCGACTTTTGTTGTGCCAGTAGAATGTATGTTTCATATAGTGTCAGAGCAGATAGACTACCAGTTAAAAGTTTAGACACAGCTTCACATTTAATGGTTTTTCTTTATTTTTCTGACTATTTACATTATAGATTCACACTGAAGGCATCAACACTATGAATGAACAGATATGGAATTGTATAGTAAACAAAAAAGTTAAATAACTCAAAACATGTTTTATATTTTAAATTCTTATATTTGGTGTCTTTAGCATATGCCTACAATATAACTGAATGAGAAGGTGTGTCCAAATTTTTGACTGGTAGTGTATATTTTTACTTAACAAAAGAAAATCAGTTTTAGCATCGGTAGTAAATACATTTTGAGATCAAAAATCAAATCAAAATTCAATAATGCAAATATATGAAATTGGGAATAATGTGCTGTAACGGAAGTGCATGTGTTGAAAGTCTGATGCAAATTAGTTTATATAATAAAGTTTGCAAAGAAATGCAGTACATTTATGCAGTTTTTTGTTTTTTGAAATTGTCCACCTACCTTCTAACTCCCCCGAGGACTCTTAAACCCATCTTCTCTGTAATCATTTCTAGTATCTTGTCAAACTGGCCCAGTATCCTCTGGTGGACCAACAGCCTCACTGCGGAGTTCAATATATCACCATTTGCCACCACACTATGGAAGGGAAATGCACAGTTAAAAAAAAAAAAGGCAGAACTTTGGTGCAAACTGCTTCAGTTTCCATTGTCAAGTCCAGTTTTTCTTACGCTACCTATCTACTACATCTACTTCTTTTCTATGTCCAAATTGGTCATATATTTATATTGTGTATTTAATCCAAAATAATGGGACAATTTAAGAAGATTTTTTCCCAAAGTGAAGTTAAAAACTTGAAAAATGAAAATTCAGCTTACAATATGGTGCATGGCTCCTTGATGGGTTTCAGGAATCGAGCTGACACAATGAATCTATTTGGTGGAAATGGTTTAATCTAAAAAAAAGGAGAAAAAAAGAAACAGTCAAAAAGTGTCAATAAGTCTATATCAAACATACAGCTGTTAATTAAATTTATCTGGAAGAAAAAACCTATTAGTGCAGTTTTTAATAATGCATTAAGCTGAATGAGTAATGTTGATGTTTTGTGATAACAGGACTAAGTTAAAAGCTTGTTGGTGAATCACCTTGTCCACGTGGGATCTGGAGGCTCAAAACAACAGACCTGTATAAACTTTAGGGACTTTGCAGACCAATGCTCATACTGTAGTCCAAACAGAATGGGCACTTTACTAACCCTTCATCCTAAATACTGGATACAAAAGACTCATCAG